AAGGATTGGATAAGTGCAAGAATTTTGATTTACTTCATGCAGAGGTGATTGCATGTACCTTTCTAAGGTCGTTTTTCAACAGTTCATTGTTATGCAAGCTGAGCTAGCCCGGTGAACATTTTTGTTGTCAAAAACTCTTTTCTTTTTTCTTTGCGCCGTTTGCGGTCTAATCTCACAAATGTGCTTCCGAGTTCTGGTTTTTTGTTGCGGACTGAAACTCGAAAACATGATGTGGCGATAGTTATTCGTTAGGAAAAAAAGCACTGACTGTGGGATTGCACGACATCGCTGTGCAGATGTGGGTGTTTTCACTGCTACACACCATTCTCAATCCTGGCCAATTGAGAATGGGACGTCGTCCCCCGTAAAATACTTGGATCGCTGCCCAGCTGCACTTTGACCGTAGTGTCAGGGCCAGTCAGGCTGTTGCTACCACCTCCACTCGAATAGAACGCCCGGTCATCATAGCTGTATTTGGTGGAACTTTCAGTCTAGATGCAGTCATAATGACAGGGCACTATATTCGGGTAAAGACGGTAGCCCGGATAACAGACTTAACATTTGTGGACTCTAATCAACCCTCACAATACAAAGAAAAGAAAAGCAGAACTTTGAGTTGGGGGTTCACTTCTGAAATCTTTTACAGCCTTTTCACAGGAACAAATATTTAGGCCAGGGATCCACGTGTCAGAGCGGGGGGATGGTATGCCGCAGCCTATGGTCACGTACAATTGAAAATGAATATTTACTATTTAGGCAAGTGGTGCACGCGCCAGACAGGGGATGGTACGCCTCAGCCTATCCTCACGTACAATCGAAATACCCTGCAGAGCCTTCCGTCGGGAATGAAAAGCGTAGATGGAAATTGCACGAGTCAGTGTCTTGCCCCTTGATCTGATCCACCAGGGGGTCTTAGCCCCCCACCCCTTCTGGGGAGGCTTTGATGCAAATGCATATGGACCCGCGCGGCGCACCGATTCAGCCTCCGCGTTAACGGCCTTAAAAAAACGTGGAGGTACTGATGGTAAGTTTGTGGATTGTAGCACAAGCTGCACAACCCAATGAATATTTAGGCCAGGGGTGCACGCGTCAGACAGGGGATGGTACGCCTTAGCCTATGGTCACATACAATCGAAATACCCTGCAGAGCATTTCCGTGGTCCATCGGACCACAAGATCATAATTTATTTTTTTCTGGGGCACGGAGGGGTCATACGGGTAAGCTCGCTTACTCGATCCCTCCAGTGTTGCCTCTGTATTGCACTGCAGCAGAGTGTGGCGTAGCCCTTTCAAAAAAAAAAAAAAAAAAAAAAAAAAAAGGTCTAGATGGAAAATGCATGAGCCAGATCCACTGTTGTGTCTTGCCCCGTGATCTGATCCAATGCCTCTTAGTCTTAAACCACCAGTACTTGGCCCAGCTATCGGCCGTGGAAAAAAAATAGAGTAGAAACGTTTCTAGTCGGATGAATTTGGGCGCTCCTGTAGTGGCCCGTACGTTTCCTAAAATTGCATAGCGTTAACGGGCACGACTTTAGGAAGTACTGGTGGTTTAAGTGTTAGGTCCCACGGGTGGTAAGTTCGTGCTATTGTAGCAGAAATCAGGCCGGTTTGCGTGGGTAGGTTTACACTTCGAAGTATGAATGTGTACATTGTGTGAAGGGCTGGAGCCAAATAAACTGACCCTGCAGGACTGTCTCTTTGGACCTTTTTTCCCATCCTCTCACACTGTTGTTCTCTCTGCATTGGTGTTTGGGTTCTCGTGGCAAGTGCTGGAATTTCCCTCTGTCTTCCTCGATTCTTGTCTACAGGGATATTTGGGGTCATGTGTTGGTGTGCTAGCATCTCCTTCCTCTGTTTCACGTGCGGGAATCTCCTCCTCTCGTCTTCTTCGAGTCTGTCTACACGGGTATTTGGGGTCATGTTCAGGTCTGCTAACAACATCTCCTTCCCTGTCTACAAGTGGTGCCAGCATTGGGTGTGGACAATATTATGATATTGCATGCGTCTAACGAGAAACCTGCGTTGAGCACATCGATAGTACTCGCGCATTTTATTCGGGGAAGGTGGAAATGTATTGCAGGGTCAGGTGGATGATATGGCACACGTGTCCATGCTGCGCTCACAAACAGTTGCGCCCCACTAAGTCTTGCGGCGTTGTGCTAAGGGAAGACTTACTTTTCCACGTTCCCTGTCATGTTATTGCATGCATCTAACGAATGTATTGAGTGTGCACATCGTGTCATTCAGCGTTGTGCTAAGGGAAGACTTACTTTTCCACCTTCCCCATTATGTTATTGCATGCATCTAACGAGAACCCTGCATTGAGCACATCGATAGTACTCGCGCATTTTATTCGGGCACTTGACACGATGTGCTCAATGCAGGGTTCTCGTTAGATGCATGCAATAACATAACGGGGAAGGTGGAAAAGTAAGTCTTCCCTGAGCGCAGAATGTATTGAGTGTGCACAGCTGTAAGCATGCCCGATGTTGTCATGAACATGCTGCGTTGCCCTGGTCCGTGCTACAAGTCGTCATGAAATGTCGGTTTGTGACTGGACAATCCCTCTTTTTCCTTTGGGAAAGACACCTATCATCTTCACCCAAATAGAATGCCCATTATTGCAGACCGTGTGTTCTATTCGGGTGGAAGATGGTAACAGCACTGGCGGCTGGACTTAAAACCACCAGTACATGCCAGCCATTGGCATTGGCCGTGGGGTCCTTTTGGAGGCCGCCCGCCGTCGATTTATTTTATAGACGGCGCGCGAGGCTCCTGAATTTCAGGAGAGGCTCAATCGGACTCAACTTGGCTGGGGCCATGTACTGGTGCTTTAAAGATTGCTCGTCTGAAGGTGCAGACCCTGCATTCTATTCGGGTGAAGACGGTGACAACACTGGCTACTGGACTTAAACCACCAGTACTTGGCCCAGCTATTGTCCGTGGAAAAAAAATAGAGTAGAAACATTTCTTGTCGGATGGATTTGGGCACTACTGTAGTGGCCTGTACGTTTCCTAAAATCGTGGCTTGTTAAACCACCAGTACCTCCTAAAAGTGCTCCGCGTTAACGGGCGTGGCTTTTGGGATGAACGGGCCTGGGCCGGTAGGCCCGATTCAGCCAAGTGGAAACGGCGTGATAACGGGCACGACTTTAGGAAGTACCGGTGGTTTAAAGATTGCTTGTCTGAAGGTGCAGACCCTGCAATTCTTTATTCGGGTGAAGACGTTAACAGCACTGGCTGCTGGACTTTAACATTGCTTGTCTGAAGGTGTATGGCCTTCAGTCACGGGACAGTGACCAGTCTGCTGGCATGTGCTGGAGATGCAAGCATAATTGATGTACTTGCACCAGGGTGAGTTCCCACTAGCAAATTCGATAGGACATACGTTTCCATGGTTGTGACGTCGACTGAGTGACGAGACCCCAGGGGGATGTGTCAAATGCACACGAGGGAGGTGGTGGTTACTGATGGTGAGCGTCTGGTCGGTCAGACCACTTTCTCGGTTCGATTGTGTTTTTCTCGGTTCGATTATGTTTTTCTCGGTTCGATTGTGTTTGCAAACTGAACTGGTACCTGATCAAATTGTCTGGAAGAGGGTACCGGTAGCCTCCAGTAAAGCTGGAACTTCTCCCTCCACCTCACCAGCCAAAACTGCCTACGCAAGAGCTGAGTGCCACTCCGCCACAGATCTCCCTTCATGAAACTCTGGAAATCTGAAGAGCTCCAAACGCAATGTCAAGATGGAAAACGAATAATAAAAAAAGAAACAAATGGAAAGCTCCAAAAGTTAGAAATGGAGAKGGGGGGGGGGRGGGGGGGGGGGGAACTTCAAAAAAAATGTTMAAAAAAAAAAAAAACAGAAAAAAAAGACAAGAAAAAAAGAAATGGAGATGAATGGAGTTCAACAAATGAATCTAGTAGGGGAAGATCCCATTAGCCACCAGATCTGATAATTTGGAGGCATCTGTGATCGGACGAATAAAAGTAACAATGGGACCATGCTACCCCTCCAAAGGATCACATGTAATCCAATGGCTGATGTTTTAAGCCTGAAATTGATGCTATGGAGGATGCCGTCTGCAAAGAAAAGGCGCATAAGTGGTTATCATGACATCGGATAGTCTTTACCTTCAGAGGGGTCTGACATCCCATTACCGCATGAGCTTGTTTCTCATTTCTCAAATGGAATGAAGGTAAGAAGCTGGGAAATAAATAATTTAAGGAGCGTAGAGTAGAGTGTTTGCAAATGATCTACGATTCTAGTGTCTCTGCGATGTCAGACTTGGTGGTAAGGTCATTTCACACTGGCATTACCATTCTAGTGTCTCTGCAGTGTCAGACTTGGTGGNGTGTCAGACTTGGTGGCAAGGTCATTTCACACTGGCATTACCATTCTAGTGTCTCTGCGGTGTCAGACTTGGTGGTAAGGTCATTTCACACTGGCATTGGCAGTGTTAAGGAATAGCAGGGGTTGTTTTCATGCCTCTGTAGGATCTCCTGATGTCGACCAACGGGCCTAGCTCAGTTGCTACACCCCTAAACTGTTGAAATACGGGCCCAAGTTCGAATCCGGATCCAATCAAAATAATTCTGAACTACCTGGGGCCTGTCAGCTCAATGATGATAAAGGCCATCCATCACCCTTTCAAAAGAGAAAGAGCAGAAAAAATGAAAAGAAAAGGAAAAGAAAAAGGATAGATACAACAGGTTACTCATATGTTGCATTGGTCCCATCCTTGGCTAATGGGACTTTGGGACCTTCTCCAAGACGAATGTTTTAAATTTCATTATGTAAGTGACCTTCTCCAAGACGAATGTTTTAAATTTCATTATGTAAGTGTTATTTTTTTTCAGGGATTTTTTTCCTTATCCGAGGATGAAGTGAAAAAAAAAGCCTTTACCTACACGGAGGAGTTGAGTGTTAATTGAACATTGCCTGTTTCTGTTGTCGGGTATGTACAGGTAACCCTGTCCTCTGTGAGACCTTTTGGCATAACGGACAGGCGGAGGGAGATTGAGAATCAAGGAGAGAGAGAGAGAGAGAGAGAGAGAGAGAGAGAGAGAGAGAGAGAGAGAGAGAGAGAGAGAGAGAGAGAGAGAGAGACTTTGAATGCAAAAAAAACAATGGCGCGACAAGGAGTATTGCTGGTTGGATGGCGAAGACCTCGACCGGAGCATGGTTGGTGGGCAGCAAATAGGTGGAGGGAGGTGGCAATGGTTGTGTTGCACCTACTTCTCAGAGCAGCAGTGGCAGCGAATTCAGAGGAAGTAATGCCCGCGGGATCGTATGATGTATCATGTGGCATGTACGGAGACTTGCAAGACATGGAGGCCTTATCGGTATGTTTCTGAGCTAGCAAGCATTGGAGAACGATGGCAACTCATTTTCCCTTCTATTTTTCAAGACGATAGAAAGTGTTAAAAAGAAATGCGAGGAATTTGTTTTCTGTTTTCGAACTTGCCCCCCCCCAAAAGCGAGAACATTCGTCTGCAACACATGAAGTGGAAGCAATGTTTCGACTTTCACGTTTTCACCCTATCCTGCCGTGCTGTGGTGGAAAAGCAACCCTACCCTACGCATGCTCTGTCCCCTCTTCGTACACCCCCCTCTAGACTGTGTTGCCAGTGAAATTTGAAACGATATGCAAGGCTCAGACCCCTTGGACAAGTTTGCAAAGGTAGAAAGGTGCAGGTTTTTCTGAGGCTCAGGTGGTCTTTGCCTCTGGTGCAAGGTCCGATTTACCCGGATTCTCCATTTCTGATCGTTGATCTCAGGCAATGAATGTGGCTCAGAAAGACAGAAACAGAAAAAGAAAATTTGTGTAATCTGGACCGGTGGACCTCGCCCCTGGAGTTGAACTCTCTACGGGTAAAAGTGGGCAGTGAATGTTTCAGACGGATGGGCACTTGTCCTTCGGGAAATGACACAGCAAAAATTAGCGGTGCTTTCTGCAGCGATGGCCTGTTCGAATCTAGAGAAAGATGCGGTAGTCAAGGCGAAGATAATGCTTCTGACAGTGGGGGAAATGGAAGGGATAGAGTCCTATATGGAAGGTAGCGGTTTTGGAGTCCTGGCTTTACGGTCACCCAGTTCCGGATTGGCTAGATGTAAGTCGTTTCACAACCTTCAGCCAGCATTAGTCAAACCATAGGGGTAGGAAACACAGCCGTAAGTGTGCGATCCCCACGACTGCCTTCGATTCCAAAACAAACAAACAAAATGATCCTGTCCTGATTCGAAGTACATATTCATCAAAAAGTACAATGCCTTCCAGTTGCAAAAAGAAATGAATGAACTTGAAAGGAGAGAGAGGCAAAGGGCCTCGCCGCACGGTGCATGAAACGAAAAAAAAAACGACTTCGTTTCGTGAAGTCGTCGCCGCATAGCACCCACACGAACTGTGTCAGAAAAAACTCGTGAATGCTGTCAGCCTCGAAGTTCGCGAGGCCTCACGAGTGTGCCGACTCCTCCCTGCCTGCAGCCCTCGCGAACTTGTAGGTCCTCCACTGGTAGGCTGGAGGAGCTGCGAAATCTCACGAGTGTGCTGCATCGCTCCAACCCAATTCCATCCAAGCACTTGGACCGTAGCGTCCGGAAATTTGGACCGTAGCAAAACGAATCCCGCACTGCTGTCGCCAGGGCGTTGTCATTAGAGTTTTTTTTTTTTTTCTTTTTTTTTTTTTGAAAGTCGTTAGAGTTTTCGTGTGTGCTGTGGGGCGGTGAGGCAAAAAACGAAGCGAAACGGTGCATCAGGGCTTCGTGAGGCCTCGCGACTCTGGTGATCGTTTCGTTTCGTTAGTTGTGCCGTGCGGCAAGGCCCAAAGAAGAAGAAGAAGACGAAGAAGAAGAAGGGAAAAAAAGAAAAAAGAAAAGAAGATGATGCACACCAGCATAGACCAATGATAATGCTCGTTCTTCTTCACCAACCACTCTCCTCCTCCTTATCTCCTCCCCTCTTTTGGCAGGTCTTTACAGAAGAAGGAGAAACTTGAGTTAGGGGACAGCTTCACATTGGTGGAAACTTGACTTTACATAACACCACATAAAAATAAAGGCTGTCTCAAGTGTGGACTCTCTATAACTGGTATTGCCTGCAATTGTGGTCATATGCATCAGGGAACTGATATTGCCTGCAATTGTGGTTGTATGCATCAGGGAAGTCCTGCCTTCTTCCCCGGAAAATGTTGTAAACATACTGTCATTAAAGCGGTATTTGTTGCATCTTTCAGTCCAAATGCAGATATAATGGCCGTACGGCGTACGTTGTATTCTGGGAAAGAAGTTAGTGCGAGTAACGTTTCGTTTCATAGTCCTGGGTGACACTAAGGAATGGGCAACTTTGGCTTATTTATTCATATATTTGGCAGCCTTGAAAGAAAGGATTGATTCCACAAATGCCTCTCTTTCATCTCTTTGGCTTATTTATTCATATATAATTTATATAGATCTTTCACCTATGGTGTTCCGGTGCCATAGTAAGAGCAAAGGCGTAATCGCGAAAGTGTCTGCGCTCTGACTCGTTTGCTTGCATAGATCATTCACCCGAACCTGACCAAAATTTATTTCCAAGTGCGACTCATGTACGTTCGGCAGAGTACTGTACCCCTAAAGTAAAAGAATTATGAACCCCTTTGAGCCACCGGCTTGGATGAGCCTGTTTTCCCCTCATCGCCTTCACAGGATGGAGGGGCAATCATATGGATTTGGTTAGCAAACTTAACTTGGTTTGCAACTTTGCACCAGTGTTTGTTTTGCAGTCAAAAGGATTCCCTTTTTCAAAGGGTTTTTTGTTTTTTTTTTTTTTTTTTTGCCTCGCGAGGATGAGGCCCCGACATCCCAACCGCGAAGAAGAATTGAATGAATAAAAATCCCAAACCTCATCTTTTTCACCTACTGCACCCCCCCCCCCCTCCCCATTTCCTGTCTCGAGGTAGATCGAGGACCCCTTGTGTTTGTGCCGCACAGCGGAAAATCCCAATCCCAACCTCATCTTTTTCACCTACTGCACGCCCCTCCCCCCAGTCCCTGTCTCGGGATAGATCAAGGACCCCCTATGTTTGCGCCGCACAGCAGCTCTCTCTTATCCCTGGTCTCCATCACTAACCGTAAGCACCCTATCTCTATTGACTGGAATCCGCCAATCTGTATCATAGTCCCCCAAACAAACCTCAGCTATGTGTGTGTGCTTTGCCAGGCTGGGGGACAAGTCCATGGGGTGTCATGCAACTGAGCGAGTTGAACCCACAACCTCTCGGTTACAGCACCCGAGATCGAACCAACTGAGCTACCACACCTTTGTCCAGTCAAATGGATTTCCTTTGGTCTCTCTCGTATTTTTCTCTAACACAGTGCAACCTAGTCTACGTCCATGATGGACTCAATTTTTTTTCTTCTCATTTGGTCGGATATTCGGCGGAGTTCCCAGCATATATCCAGTTTACGTACCCCAAGAGTGATGGATGAGGACTCAAAATTTTATGCACCCCCCCCCAGTACCTCCCCTGCAGCTCGCAGACCAAATGTGTGACTGGGGCTGCCTCTCCGTGTTCTGACGCATTGCCAGTCTACCAATTAGTGGTTTGAAGCGCAAGTAACAAAGAACAATTTCTTCGCTTAGGGCATACTCACACTAGGCCCTCAAAATCACAAAATCGCAAAATCACAAAATGAGCGGCCAGATCGAGTCCTTGTAAAGGCAGGACTAGATCTGGCCGCTCATTTTGGGATTTTGTGATTTTGAGGGCCTAGTGTGAGTATGCCCTTAACAAGATCAGATGTGCCCAAAATCTGCCGAATGAACGCCGTCAACTGGATCGCGATCTGTCAGAGTGGCAGTTTGTGCAGTCCAGGTGTTCTAGCAGAGGTGTCTGAACAAATCAGCAAGGCATCTGGGCGACAACGTCATGCATCTCTCAAAGACCCTTTTTCATGCACGAGTCTTGGAGTCGAAGAACAGACTTGCCTGTTGCGAGGTCGCTGTGCCCTATAATGCACTGAAAATTCTGAAATTGTATTTTTCCTCTGCCAGTCCTTGCCTGTTTTTGCGGAGCTGCCTAAGTGGTCGAAGCCTCTCCCAGCAGCACGACTCCTAGGGTGTCGTTGACGCATCCTGTGGAGCCACAAACCATTTTGGTTTTGCGGTTGTCCAACTTCTCCTGGAAATTTATAAAATATTTTCTATAAATTAGTATAAAATTAGTATAAAATTAGTATAAATATTAAATATATAGTTTATGCAAGACGCCTATGCGCAATCAATAATCCATGTTATTTTCCCTAAACAATATTCAGAGTAAGACACAATATTAGCTACCTGATACCTTTTTTTTTTTTTTTTTATAGAATTTGGACCATTTCTCTTCTCGATTTATGCGTGTCATCCTTGCGCAGGGGCCATGCTAATCTTCTCTGTATCGTTCCAATTTTAACGGATGTCCTGAAGGACAGCTACCTGATACCTATTGTAGGCTGAGTGCATCGATTTTCACTGGTTGAGCAGTTGCAATTCCCCTGGGACCCCTAGAGCTGTCTACAGGGGACACATCTGGTATGGAACCATGCCATATCAGCGGCTAGCCCACCAGATTGCATCCTTGGCGATGAGGCTCCGGCCAGCCTCAGCAATTGATGGCAGCCCAGCTCAAGCAAACCCAGGGCAGAGGCTAACCGGGCACGTGAAGCAACCCTTCATGCAGTCCACCCCCCAAAAAAAAAAAAAAAAAAAAAAAAAAAAAAAAAAAACCCAGGAACATTTGACTTGTAACACAACACTTCATGCCATCGAGTCATTCTGATGAACTATGAAGCACACAATCTGGCAGTCTGGCAGTGATTGGCAGAAGGGCAATGGGCCCTGCGGTGTGCAGCTCTGGTGTGCATTGACGTATTCATTGCAAGATTAGAGGCTGAACATCTTTGCGATGTGGGTTTTAGTATCCCCCTGGGGCAGGGTTTCACTACCTGCATTCCTCATTTCTGACGACAGGTCACGAGGGTGTTGTGAATTATGATGACATTGACCAGCGCTGTGCAGGGTGCTGTATGCATTGATGAATTCACTGCAAGATTGAAGCCTGTGTACGTTTTTGCGATGTGCATTTTGTTCTTCCCCTGGGGCAAGTTTCCACTACCCGAGTTCCTCATTTGTGACCATAGGGGTCATAATGGGGGGTGTCATGAATTCTGAAGTCGACAATCGGATGTCCAGGGTGCCGTTGCTGGGTGAGAACATGCAATCTCAGCTAAATTTGAGTTGAGGCACAGTGTTTTTGAATGTTCCGACCGTCAACAATTACAGTGTGCCTCATGCTGTTTGCTCCTCTCTTCCTTTTTTCTTTGAAACAACGGCGGACGCGGCATGTTTTGAGTTCCTAAAGGCACGAAAAACAGGCCTTCGGCGACTGTGTCAGGGCCTGAGTTCGAAAAGGCGTTCGTAACTTGAGGCCAGCAGTGGTGTCAGGGCGGAGTTCGGAAAGGCGGTTGTGTTTGTTTGTTTGTTTGTTTTCTTTTTTTTTTTGTTTTCTCCGGTCGTGCCGTGCGCGCCACACCGCGGCTGGAAGGAGAAAAAAAAGTGTTTTTTTTTTTTTTTCCGGTCGGTAGCGCTGCGCCGCGCCGCGCAGCGGCGTGGAGGGAAAATAAAAAATAAAAAATAAAAAATGGTGTATCGGGCCCATGGTCACCCCAGATTGGCCACGGCCGAAATGTCTCGGCCACACCCCAGATTGGCCACGGCCGAGATGTCTCGGCCACACCCCAGGTTGGCCACGGCCGAGATGTATCGGCCACACCCCAGATTGGCCACGGCCGAGATGTCTCGGCCACACCCCAGATTGGCCACGGCCGAGATGTA